TGAGCATGGAAAATGGCAGGAAACAGGTTGTTGTATGATTTGATTGTGAATTTGGAGTCTTGTCCCAAGCAGCATTGGATGTCTGCTGGGTTGAACTCGTGTCAAAATGAACTTGATGAGAGGACGTCCAGCTTCAGCGATGAAACAATCACACGGCATGAACATCTCAAAGTCAAGACCTGTTGTGGTGACACCCACCCAGCCCGGACATACCCACCCTTTCAGGGTGGGCCCTCTCAGTTCCTCAGTCATTCAGTTCTTCGCAGCCTCAATGGGCAGGTTCCGATGTCGCTTCACGCACACCTCAGCGGTCATTGTTGATGGCGGTCTCACTACAGTGCCGTTGATGGTTAACATGGAACTCGTATATTATAAAGACGTTGAACTCTCAAAACAGTTCTTTCTCCATCAAAACTTCCAGCAACAGACATTACAAAAAGCCTCTAAGCATGGAAGTCGCTGCTTCAGCTCAGGCACAAAACGATCCTCCTGAAGATCTTTCGCCAGAAAGGCCTCTCAGCAGTGCACTTGGACAGCAAACCAGCGCGACCAGCGAGACCAAAGCCACTGGGTACTTGCGCTGATTATGGGATCTGATAGACCAAATCCTGCAATCCTGCACTCGCATGGATTCCCCAAAAAAAAGCATCGTCAGCATCGTGCATTGCGCATTTGTGACAAATGCGTGGATTCGTCCATCTGTCCCGTGCCACACGTCCATTCATCAAAGCTCCAGGCCTTAGTGAAGTGACCCTCGCCCACCAGCTGCATGATCTTGTACCTTGCCAGGTATGTGGGCTATTGTGTTGGTTTAGGATGGGAAACGACATGAGTCTGTTGATGTATTTGGGGTGTTAACTTGCGTGTCCAGGTTCTTGTCGGAAAGAGAAGAATGAATCATGTCATTGCGACAGAGAGCACATCCAGGTTGCCAAACAAGCAAGGTGTCACTTCTCATGTAGAATCATGTAGATAGAACTGGACAGGGAAATAATTACAAGGAATCTGGTGGAGATCATGATGCAGTTCGAACACATCAAAGTACGACGATGCGCAAACCGGGCCTTTGTGCCAGCACTTCCCCATCGCTGAGGCCTAGGGTCCACGGCGCCGTCTCGGCGAGCAGCTCGGGTCGTCTCTGCAAGCGAGCAGCTCGGTTTGTGGATGAGTTTTCCGTGCAGGCCTTGGGTTTCATGCAGTTATGCCATGCCTGCTTAGCTCGTGGAAATCAGCTTGAAAAGGAAGAGTTGTCCTGTTAAGCCTGGCAACAAGGTTTAGACCCAACCGATTGGAGCGTGGTGAGCGCTTCAGCCTGAATTGGTCTTTAAAAGGTAAAAAGTCGCATGTTCGACATGTCTCCCAAGAGTTGAAGACTGGAATAACCTTGATTAAACATGATTATATGTTCCCTGATTGTATAAACTGATTCATTCTGGCTCAAGACTGGATTGAAGACTGGATTTTTCACAAAGTGGAAGTCTTCAACGTGCTGACTTCGACTTAGGCGCCGCGGTCCAGATCCCCCGACTCCAGCTCGGGCGGCTCTGGGCCGCCCCGACCAGTGGCACTCAGCAATTCCCGGGCGTGTCCACCTGCAAAGCACGTGGTTAAGGCGGGAAGGGATCTAAGAAGAACTGGTTTTTGTGGATCAAATGTCAAGTATGGTGTCACCGGGATTGAAGAGACAAACCATTAAAAAAAAGCCTGCATGGGGATTGAAACCATCTCCTCACGCACGTAGTATATACGCATGGGTGGTTGTTCTTTTCTCGGTGACCATCTTCACAGCATTGACAGCCACCCAAACCCCCGTCGTAACACATTAGTGAGCCACCACTTCTCTCACCAGATGGCGGTCGCGTGACATGTGTTAGGCTTCAGGCTGGGTCGTCCCATGGATCCACCAGTCCGTCTCGTGATGTCCCATGGATCGACGAACCGACCCGGTGAGGACGGAGACACTGGAGGCGCCAGGGGGGGCCCAGTCGTCCCTTCTGAACAAGTGGCAGTGGATCCGTTTTTTCAGCACCATAGATCTCCTGGGTGGCTGGATGTGGCTGGGCTTCTCTTGGTTGCTGCCCTTGGTGCCCATATCCCCCTATACCTCCCCACACACCGCCACACACGGCGCGTTCGGAAAGAACGACGCGAAGACCCACGCAACGTCCCAGGCACCGCAGATGTCACGTCGCACGCGAATGGAGAGCTTCGTCCAAAGTTCTGGCCGAACGGATCGCGCGGAGGGACGCGGAGAAACGGAGTCGTGCGGAACACGGGGGTGACAGGACCAGTCCGTGGCTTTGGGGGAACAGTCCGTGGCGCAGTCATCAGTGAGTTCCGTAGGCAGCCCATTTGGTTTCAGTTGAGGGTGTCTCGCAGATGTGGACATGGCTCGCAGTGGTGGGAGTCCACCTCATTCTTCACGGTTGTGACGGTTGTGATTTTTTGGAACTGAAAGAAGAGAGAGGGGGGATTTCCCCATGATTTCCCAATTACACCTCGCTTGGACTTCCCAAACCACAGCTACATGGAAAGCTTGCTCATCAGAACAGCAGACTTCTATCTTCGCTCTTCGCAACCCACCCAGACTCGATCCTTAACGAAAGGCCTTATACACACATCAAAAGACCATCTTCATCAATCACCACATACTACTGTCAGAGGGAAACATGCAGCCCCTGCGAGCCGTGGTATTTACCATTTGCAAGTCGGTGTTTTGTCCGTGTTTGCTTCAGTCCCACCGGGTGCGGGATTTCGTTCCTTCGCATCTGCCAATCTGCCAATCCCGACCAACCAAAAACGTTCGGGACCTGGGGGGCAAAACTTGCCAATGCGACGCTCCATGGGACTGGCCAAAGTGAACAAATGTAGGGCTTTGGATCCCCTTTTCAATCAACCAATTTTTGGGGCTCTTGATCAATGGTCACACCGCCATTGGGATTCTAAGACCTCTTCCTGTCCGGGGGTTTACTATTAATATCTATTCATCAAAGAGTCTACATTGCCCCAACTGATGATTAATGCCAATGTAGATGGTGTTTTGACTGGCCAGTCATGGCATGGACCCCTGTTGAATCAACCACCCCCAACTGATGGGGGGGTTCTATGCCAGTCTCTTCAGCAACGAACGACACGTGCTTTGTGTGTCGGATCGACGTCCAGCGCCTGGCCCCTCATCGCTGGGGACGGTGTCCATCTTGGCCTTGGCCGGGCCATCCAGTTCCGATTCCAATGGATGATGATTCGGTTTACCCAACGACACCTGCGACTGAAAGAGACGACATCCAACGACAAAAAAAAGGGGCACAAGTGTTCTCCCAATTGATGTGACAAACTAGGACCAATCATGATTTTTAACTGGTCACACATGGTCGTACCGAGTCATACCACTAAAGCCATCCAGGAGTTGGGGCCTGGGGGTTGGTGCTTGTGGTGCTTGTGGTGGTGATGGTTTTTCTCGTGGTTCTAGCCTTGGAACCTTGAAGCTCCTGCTAGAGGATCCTCCCTTTCTGAGCTTTCCCCACTGGGCGACCCCAATCGGTGAAGTCTGAAGGGTGACACCCCGCGAAGCCCACATCGTGGGTGGCGGCGAAACAGCCCGCCGCAGCTCAGCCGCGTCACAAGGGGTGGCCAGCCCACGAGGATCTGCTCCGACCAGGCTTCGGCCAGCATCTCCTGGTCGAAACTTGGACCGGTCCTGAGGTCACTGAGCTCGGTGACCCAATAAACTACATAAGGAGGTGGAGAGTGCGGAGGAGGAGCACAGGAAATCCACAACACCCAAAGGACCTTCCAAGGCTTCAATCAGGAATTCATTCGGATTACATTGAATTCCATGCATCGTCAGGCAAAACTGCGCAGTTCATCATAGAGCGGGTGCTCCTCGGTCCAAGGCTCAAAGCCCTGGCGACGGGGCAAGAGGGAGAGGGCTGCGGTTCTTCCCAATTCTCAGTTCTTCCAAGTACAATCCACCAGCTGTCAAAGAACAGCTGTGATTTGAGGCTGAGAAGCTAAGAACTAGCTGTGTATCTTTTCCAAGAACAGCTGTGATGGCAAAGCCTCAAAGTCACTGGGAACTGGACTCCAATCAGGTCAACTGAAGAAGCGGGTCGAAGCTAAGGAACGTCTGCGGGTCTTGGTCTCATGCTGTTGTGAGCACTGGTCTCCGCATCGAGGATGAGTCGCTTAAGTCTTGTCGCAGTCGTTTCTGAGCTAAACAATGAGACCAACAAAAGGGGAACAAAAACAACAGGTGTTCAAGCTAAACCCTTCTGAGCTACCTCAATCACAAGACAAGAAGGTATTGCCTTTTCAAACAATCCACCTAGCTGTCAAAGAGATCACCAGAAGGATAGGCCACCAATGTAAAACCCGAGGCTAGCATCCACTTTTCCGGATAGATGCTCCCAGTCCCCTCGCATTCGTCTTTCCACAGCCTCCACGGGTATCAAGGCGTGGTTGGAGTTCTGAGGCGGCTCTCCGTAGTACTCCACCCAACAGCTCTCGCAGTACCTGACCATCCATCAAATGCAAGGAAACACCGTCAAAAAACACCCTTAAGATTGGAACAGGCCCATGGCGACTTGAATCCACATGGATCACTGATCACCATACAGAGTTGCCATGCAGTTGCTGTACCTTCTATAAAAATAGGTGGAGGATTGGTTTGCGTTCATCAACCTTCGATGAGGTGACACATCTGGGACTCCACACTTCCTATATATACCTGCCCCCCTTGATAGATACAAATTCCAGCCCATCTTGATAAAAGAAGGCTTTTAGCAAATGTTGCAAGAAATCACGTCCCTCCACGGGAGTTTACGTCCATGTGATAATCCCCACGGTTATTCACGTCCATGTGTTTTGGTCTCATATACATCAATATTTTGCTCAAAATCAACGTTTGCTAGGATTCCCATCAAATGTCAGTACCCCCAAATGCAACAACAAATCAAGCCTTCTTCCTCCAGCCCATGCACCTGCCAGTCCCTGTCTCTCCACTAGTTCCTAGCCCATGCACACTGTATGTGGCATAAATACCGCTCAAGCGTCCGTTTGGACATGATGCGGGGAGATACGCAGCGGCTTACCGCTGCGCATCTCCCTATAAAATCTTCGTCCATGGAACAAGAGAAAACGGCTGGGTTCATGACGTATCCGGCCCTCTGTGCATCCTTTTTCAAATGGAATGATAGTTCATGCACAGCATGAAGCTTGGGGAACAAACCAAAGTAAGCCAAGCCCAGGTTGTATGCTGCAGCAGCTTGGAACAGGTAGGCCTTGAAGAAGTCTTGAAGGCAATTGCTCAGGTACATTGCCGAGTCCCGTGGTATCAGCACATCGTGGCTGTATATACCCCTCATGAACTCATTGGCCCTCATGGTCCCAGCAGCCTCAAAACCAAAGACAAAAAAGTAAGCCCAAATGCCTCCCAATTCAACTAGGTCCATTGAACTACAAACGGTATATAGGTCAGCAGGCACAAAGCCTAAAGAAACCAAATACAACATGCATCAAAAGAGTATAAAGGCCAATGCGGGCTGGAAACAAACACACGTAGACGCTCATCACCCTGTAAGACGTCCCTGTGCTCCTCGCAAAACTCTTCCAGAAACATCATGAAATTGCTGGTGACTGCGGCTTTGTTCCAACAACCGGAGGGTTCAGTCGCCGAGCCAAAGGTGCGCCAATCAATTTTCCGCAGTACTGGGTCCAGCTTCTTCCGTTTACAAAAATTCTTGTACCGAGACCCAATGAAGGAAATCCTGGCATCCATTTGTGATTCAGGCAGAAACTTTTGTATCATCATGATGCCACAGGCCACCCAAGACTTGCCGACTCCCAAATGCAATGTGTGCCAAGGGTCGATGAGGTGAAATCTGGCCTTCCCATTCGGGCTTCGATCAACAAGAAGTTCCCTGGTCATTGCACATTCTCGAAACCAGGGTGGAGGCAGCTCTTCAACAAATGATCGTTCCATCTCTGCTTCTGCTGCATTCCTTAGTCAGTAGCAATGGAAGCCATCCCCATGGGTGTAAGGTGCAGAAAGCACATTGAGTTTCAAATGATGGATTTCTTCAAGCACCGGTTGGTGCATTGGACAAAAAAGTGGAAAGTAAAACTGTGACCATGGAAAGTACCAGCATCAAATCTTCCCAGTCCACACCCTGACCACAGGTGCAAAGGTGACAAATTCCTGCTCCAGAAACGTTGTGATCGTCATCACGTGCTCCCTTTGGTGCCCTCCGGTATGATCGTTCCAAGTTCGCCGAGGATACCTTGAGTCCACATGAAGCTCAAAACTGAACAACATATTTTGGGGTCAACCAATACAAACTTAAAACTGACCTCCGTTCCAACCAGGAAACCAAATAACTCCAGTCGCCTTTGTTACCGAGAAGGATGGGAAATACCTTTTCTTGCCCGCTGCCAATCGCAATCCCTTCCTTTTGGCAACGGGCGAGGTCAGCAACAACTACCTCGAAGATCGCATTCCAGACCCTCGGGTCATCCGAGTACAACTCCTACACAGGGCCAACAATCCCAGGGGAATTATCAGCTCATCCCCCCTATAGACATGCTTTCAAAAACGAGGTGGGATCGCCTGCAACCTTCCTGCCACACATTTAGTCACCCAAAGTCCTTGGGACACACGCAAACCAGCAGCCTTGTTTGGAAACCAGTTCTCAAGAAATTCAGTGGTATTCCTTGCGTTGCCCCTCTGAAGTTCTCATCTCTCTTGCTGGATCCGTGTCCAAAAATTCCCTGAATGGATAGGACTAGCAGCCCGCTCTTGCGGTACGTTACCCCCTCGTCTCCGTGGAACAGGATTGGTAGGCAATGCGAAAGCGGCTTGAGCCCCGCGTCCACATCCCTCCACAGCTCGTGCTGTGGAAACAGTGCCCTGTACTTGGACCAAAAGTCCAGGAGTATCCCACAGGCACTTTGTAGGGAGTGCCCTCCTAACAAATGACCAAGGTCGTTCATTTTGGCCATGCTTTTGATGAAGTTTGATGGTCGGATCCAGGGGAATGAACACAAAGGTGGATTGTCTTCATATGAGATGTCCACCGGGTAATAGAAGTTGTTCAATCTGAATACTGTAGTCACAGCTTCTTCCTTATTAGTGCGTGAAAGGGCTGAACATGATCTATTTCGGGGTACTGGTGATTTTTGAATGGGCTGCAAAAAAGTCAAAAAGCTTGAAACAAACATCCCAGGGTCCGACTTTTTTCGGTCAGCGGTAGCCAATGCGGAGAGAACTGGGCAGGTCATGCTTGCATGGAAACCGTCGCTGACATCTCGCATTTCAGCAGCTGCGAACTCGAGGATCTCACAGCACTTTTCCTGAATCGCGCGCATGTCTCATGCACGAAGACCAATCCTCACATGCATGATTCTATGAGGTCAGGTGGTTAAGTTATCGATCCAAAGTCCATCATATTCCTGTCCACAGTGTACATCATTTTGCAGGCCCCACAACTTTCCCACAGATTGCCAAGTTGCGCCGCGTCCATACTTCCATGCAAGTTGGCGCGCCTTGTGTGAGGGACCTGGCAATGCAGGGTGCGGGGTTGTTGCGGGTTCAGTTCTGACGGGTTTGGTGGGTCAGTGTTGGAACTAAAGGCTTCTATATGAAACCTTGCCACTCCATGACCTGACCTGAAAAATGACCTCGGTGAGACATCCAATGCGCCATAGTGCGCCTGCTTTTCTTTTGCACACTTTTGGCACTGGATTGGTTGCATGTGCAGTGGGATGCCACCGCTCACACACCATCAACTTCAAACCCCAAATCTGTAAATTGAAATCCATGTGTTCTCCACATGGCAGATACCCCAAGTTGCCTTGCGTGCCCAGAAGTGTTGGATCCACAACATCAAAAACAAATCCATCTAAACACTTCCATGGCAGTAAAATTCGGTGTTATATCCGACAATGCCAAACAAGGGTCTACATGCACTTCAGTCCAACACGGGCATTTGGCGCTTAGGCCCCTTTGCGAGCCTTCTTGCTGCCCCTCGCACTGGCAGGAACGGATTCCGGCTTGTTTTCACCTTTGGGTTTCCGAGATGCCTTTTCCTTCTTTGAAGAGGCACCTTTGCCCTTACGGCAACCACCCCTGTTTTTTTTGATTTGTTCTTGGGAGACTTTACTCCCTTTTCTTTGCTATTCTTGCCCTTAGCAGCATCGGTCTCAGAGATGACAATCCTGGAGCGGGGCGGCACGTATATATATCATGAAAAGTGGGAGGGCATTCATCAAACATTTGTTGTCAGCTTCTATGCATCCAGGTTCGCCTGTAGCGGGCTTCTAGTGGGATCAAAGCCGAGCACCTCGGGCGGCGGTTTTCGTATATATATTAAGTCAACCCAGGCACTTCGAAGGGAATCGGAACACACTGATTGCGACAAGTAACTGTTTCCTCACCATGTCCTTCTCATCAGTCACCTCCTTCAACAGCCTTAGATGGAAGCAGATGCAACCTATCTAGAACGTGGCGATCAATAAACCACAAGTTTCTTGATCACATGAATTCTCTGTTGTTCGTTTTCTATTTTGAGCATCCTGTATACGTCTTCAAACGACTGGTATAGCCATTAAAGGGCCCCATTTGGATGGACTCCTCGAGGCTTTCCCCATCAATGACAAGGACACAAGTTTATATATGGTTTTATTCCTTTCTTGTCACCATCTCGCATGAGTTCAGGTTCTCGATGTTGATCAGTTCAAGGGTCCTCTCTGTTGGATAAGGGCACCCTCAAAAAAGCCGCCAAGATAGTTTAGGAGGCCGCATAGATACCGATGAGCTGTTCTCATTTGGCAGCATCATGAGTGGAAGTGCGGTTGTGCCACCGCGCAGTGGGTGTAACCCAATTCACTGCGTTAAAAAAAACAAGGCTTTGGGGTTTGGGGACGCCAAAACACCGTGTCCAGTGCTTCACAACAGTGCTTCATGATTTCATGCCTATATTAAATCATTCAATCTTCTCAAAATCCTCAATACACTGTGGAGTGTGTGACGGTGCGACGGTACCTAGGAACTGCCCAAACGAACATGGTCTTTGAAACATGTTTTTTGGAACACCCACCTGGTGAATCTTGAAAACTGCTGAGGAGACTTTCATGCTGGCCTGTCCACCTGTCAGATTGAACTTTGAACTATAAATTTGATCCAGACCATATGGGGGCCTCCGGTTGAGTTTTTTTTATCCTTTGGCGTTATCCTCGCGAGCATCGCCATGCACCCCGAGATCCATTGAATTACCGAGTCCAAACAAAAACCAAACGTTTGAAGCGATGTTTTACGGATACAAGGAGGCAGTGGGTGTTTCGTTTCCTCCCTTTATAAGTTAATATAAGCAACCCGGTCAGAGCATCACTTTGCAGCTGGCCATCGCGGTGCTCCAGTTTGAGCTCGGTGATCCAAGCTGCAAACTTCTCAAAGGTGGCCTTCATGTTCTTGTCAAGGGGCACCAAAGCCTCATGCAACCTCAGCCCCGAATGCCAAGCAAACCCTGCACTGTTTTATCCTATGCCGCCCAATTTGTGTTTGACACATCGGTTGACTGCAATCAAAATGCTTCTTTGCTGGTTCTCCGGTGATTTGCGAGAGCTTGGACATCATCTTGGACATACTTTGCATTTTCTTTTCTAGATTCTCCATGTAGGTCTCGAGGTCCGCCACAGGCTGGACAGGGGTTAAAAACACAGATGACGGTAACACTGGTTGTTGCTATATGTGATGCTTTTTAAAGAACGGTTTGTCTGTCCTTAGATCCAACCACCGATGGCCCTGGGATTGCTTCCGGAACTCGGGCCAGCCCCGGTTCCAAACGCGCAGGAGCATCATCTGCCGAGATTTCCTTGTCCTTGGAACAGGCAGAGGCGGCGGGATGTTGGATTATACAGCTCAGCTGAGTGAATATATGGAAGCAGAAACTCCACTAATCAAAGACATGGTCTATTGTTTCAACATGTTCCAACCCTCAATGCAGGATCTCATTCAGAAAAGGAAATAGCAGATCGATGGATGTATATTACACCAAGAATCGGCAAACTGGGTTTCCTCAACGTCGCGAACGCTCTCCACTTTTTTGTGAAGTGCATTGTCCTCCAGGATCACGAAATATTCGTTGACCTGTTCATTATACTGCCATGGCCTGCAAAGCGAGAATCAACTCAGGTATACCTGAGTTATACTCATGGATTTTGATTTGCATAAGGTGTTGCTTTCTTTTTTTTTTGAATCTCAAATCCTTTCTGTACATCAAAGGGCCTTACTAGCGACTCCGGGAACTTTTTGCAATAGCTGATGATTGCCTTGATGGAGGCTGCAGACCAGAGGCCACTCTTGCGCATGGCCTCTTCCGTCATCCAGCGGCCGTACTTCTCGCTTTCCTTACTGTCCATCTTCTCCTTGATGAGTTTCACCTTCACGGTGAAATCTGCCTTGAAGCAAACCGGAAGTTGCTGATTTGGTGCATATGGTGGAGTCAAAAGGCATCGTCATATATATATATATATGTATTGTTTTTGCAAGATATGCATGCACAAGTGGTCCCTATATAGTGCATTGCATCTACACAGGATTTAAAAAAACACTGTATTGATCAGAACTCCGATGTACTTTCACTCGCTTGTACACGGAACGGCTCAGCCCATGTTTTCCGATGGCTTCAAGAAGGGCCATCTCCAATATCTCCCGGCACTCCCCTCCAGCACGAAATTGCTGGGCTATCTCAGCCGTCACAGCACATTTGCCGCTGGGTTTTGTTTCGCAAAGGCGTCTGCACCGCATTCTCAAGGCATCCGCCGAAATCTTGACCTGAAGAGGCTTACCCTGGAGGCAGAACACAGGGAGGCAACCGCCCCTGACTGCAACCACGCATACCCCAACACGTTCTACAGCTCTGAAACTGGGCTGAGGGACAGTTTGACCACCGGGTGTTGTGAGATACTCCTCCTCATCACCATCACTGGCACAGCTCTCAGAGCCATCAGCGTCTTTCCCATGGCCCGTGCCAGCAGAGGACTGGTTTTTTGGCAGTGGCTGACATGTCTCACGTTCTTTCGTTGGTTCTGTGGGCGTTTGCCCGCGGCAATTTTTCTGCATGGCAGATTCCAAAGTATTGACACGTTCCAATGTATTTTCAAGCAACTGCTGCAACTTTGACTGGTTTGCTTCGGCACCGGCCTTCTTGACTTCATTGTCCCAAGCGTCAAACTCCAACTGCTTAATCTTGGCAAGCAGCTGCTGTTTATGCTTTTCCTGATCATCAATCTTGGCCTGCAGCTCCAAATCCGCCTGCGTGCAAATCGCAATTGGGCGATGCTGGACGATGCTGGATGTGCATGCATGGTTTAGCTAGGTCACAGGGTCGACCCCTGCGTTGCCTGAGTGGGAGGCTTGATTGGCTCACCAACCGGCTCTCTAATCTTCTTGGAAGACACAGGTGGAGATGCATGAAGCCCACGAGGAATAGAAGCTGCCGGGGATGGTATCGCCTGGAAAGATAGATATATTTATGTAATAAATACGTATACCTATTGCAAATATGGGCTGTTCAATTCGGCTAGATTGCTGCTGGAACTGTCTCCGCCCCAGGTGAAGCCATGTCCGTCAAAGCATTGGCATCCTCAAGTGAAAAAAGGACTTCATGGCTATCCTTTTAATTTTGATAAAGCACTGAACAGAACATGGAGCACAGATCGACAAAAGTCCCTGCCAAGATCCTTTTCCTTTGGTGGCTCCTGTGGAGCAATCTTCGGCGTCGCAGGCTGCTCCATCTTGACGGGGATCAGTGCCCTGCCAGAAGCCTCAGATCAAAGGCTGTGATGGTTGGGCGAATCACTGGACTGTTGGACCTCAATTGCAAAGCTTATATAAATATATATGTGGTCTGGAGCTCTGAACAACTTTGGGAATGCGGAAATAGCCTTGAATTGTTTTTATGTGCATGATGCACGAATGACACCAAGTAACGTTCTTGCTT